ACTCATTGTCATGTTCAAGAAACCAATTTGAAATGATTAGAGCTTTGTGACATGGTGGAAGTAGCCATCAGAGGATGGGTACATGGTGGCCATAAAGGGATGGACATGGTCAGAAACAATGCTCAGGTAGGCCGTGGCATTTAAACGATGCCCAATTGGCACTAAGGGGCCTAAAGTGTGCCAGGAAAACATCCCCCACACCATTACACCACCACCACCAGCCTGCACAGTGGTAACAAGGCATGATGGTTCCATGTTCTCATTCTGTTTACGCCAAATTCTGACTCTAACATCTGAATGTCTCAACAGAAATCGAGACTCATCAGACCAGGCAACATTTTTCCAGTCTTCAACTGTTCAATTTTGGTGAGCTCTTGCAAATTGTAGCCTCTTTTTCCTATTTGTAGTGGAGATGAGTGGTACCCGGTGGAGTCTTCTGCTGTTGTAGCCCATCCGCCTCAAGGTTGTGTGTGTTGTGGCTTCACAAATGCTTTGCTGCATACCTCGGTTGTAACGAGTGGTTATTTCAGTCACTGTTGCCCTTCTATCAGCTCGAACCAGTCTGGCCATTCTCCTCTGACCTCTGGCATCAACAAGGCATTTCCGCCCACAGAACTGCCGCTCACTGGATGTTTTTTCTTTTTCGGACCATTCTCTGTAAACCCTAGAGATGGTTGTGCGTGAAAATCCCAGTAGATTAGCAGTTTCTGAAATACTCAGACCAGCCCTTCTGGCACCAACAATCATGCCACGTTCAAAGTCACTCAAATCACCTTTCTTCCCCATACTGATGCTCGGTTTGAACTGCAGGAGATTGTCTTGACCATGTCTACATGCCTAAATGCACTGAGTTGCCGCCATGTGATTGGCTGCTTAGAAATTAAGTGTTAACGAGCAGTTGGACAGGTGTACCTAATAAAGTGGCCGGTGAGTGTATATATATATACATACTGTACGTATATATGCAAGCTTTAATATCTAAGCTTTTAAGATTAAGCTTACTCTTTTGATCTCTTTGTGAAACTAAATGCATAAGGCCTATTTGTTTGATTCACTTGCATTGATATAATCAGATATTTTCTTTCATCTGCCTTCTCAAACTTTCAGTGTTTATTCCTGCTTTGTATGCATTTAATTTCATGACATTTTTTCATAATGACACGTGTTTGCTGCACGTGTCACACTTTCAGGTACATGCGCTTCGCAAACCCTGAATTAAACCGGAGTCGACAGAGAACGTATATATTCTGAGAGGTGTGAGCCCGTTAAACCTGGTTGGATTTATATGGATTTGTAAACTCTAAACCTACTGTGAAACTCAGTTTGTTCAACTAGCTTCGTGCAACAGGCCTCAAAAGTGACAGCAAAGACATTTAATAATGTTACAAAAGATTTCTATTTCAAATAAACGCTGTTGTCACAGTTTCCACAAAAATATTAAGCAGCAGAGCTGTTTTCAACATTGATAAAAGAAATGTTTCTTGAGCACCAAATCAGCATATTAGAATGATTTCTGAAGGATCATGTGACACTGAAGACTGGAGTAATGATGCTGAAAATTCAGCTTTGCCCTCACAGAAATAAATTACTTTTAAAAATGTATGACAATAGAAAACAGTTTCATAATATTACTGTTTTTACTGTATTTTTGATCAAATATATAAGCAAACATCAAAAAACATTTTTTTAAATCTTACCAACCCAAGACTTTTGAATGGTAGTGTATGTATGAAATAATTTAAATTACTCACATAACCATAAATGTATATTCTGAATTAATATCACCAGGAAGGATGACACCTGAGTATATGTTTAATACAATGAGTTCCAAATTATTATGCAAACGTTTCTCTTTGTGAGCTTTGGTTAGGGGTGGCTGAAATGCCACTTTACGCACAACTAGCAGCCTGAATGGAGAGGTTATTGAGACTCCAGACACACCAGCTGCTCAACAGTGGCTTTTTTTATATCTGCCCTTAAATACAATTCATTTGTTTGACAGAAACTTTCCTTAATAAGCCTTTATCTGACCAAGTTCTTCTGTGCTCCAAATCACTCACAAATATTTTGATATTTTGTTTTAGCAAAATATTAGTTGTTTTCATGCCTTTTGCAAGACATTGCACCATTTCATGCTTTTCATCTTTAGAATGATCTTTCTTCCTCCCCATATTGCATGAGAACTGTGACTTGCTTAAAAATGTGGAACAACCTCTGTAGGTGGGGTTTCCATTTTCCTAAGAAGACCTGGCAAACTACCTAAAGGCAGGGTAGGTAAGTTTGAGAAACTAGCAGAAAACTGCTGGATTTTGAAAGTATCCAACAGAGAAACTCCCACCCCCTCCCTTCTGGACTCCTTCCAAAGCCACGCCCCCAAAACACATGAACGCGTGATGCCGACCGCTTAGCTGGAGGACGCGTTTACCAGCGCCGAGTGGAGAGGAGCGCAGTGCATGGAGTGACATCACCTTTTTTTTTGCCTTGTTTGCCTGCGCTGACTGTATATGCAGGTACAGGTGGTACTGGGAATTTTGACTGCTCTTTCTCTGCCATAATTGTGAGACTTCCTAGCTTCCGGCCGGTACGTGCCTCTCCTCTTTCGAAATGAGCGAGTCAACCGGGTGCGCGCATGTGGGCAGCTCCTGTAGCAGCAGGGGTGGTAGCCATGGTAGCGAGGGAGAGTGACAGTCGCCCAGCCAATCATTGCATTCGTTCCGAATGGAAAGAGTAGCTGTGTTTATTGCAGCCCTGAGAGGACTACAGACACTCGATTTTTATCGAGTACTTACATTTTAGATATGTATTGGTATATAAACACAGTTTAAACAAATTTGGGAAAAAGTGTTTTAGAAACAAACTGCCTACCCTGCCTTTAAAGTAACAACAGGTAACTTTTCAACCTTCATAATATATTTCCAAGTCTCTTGTGATGGTACATCGACTTACAATAGGTTGAATGACACGTCTGCCATAGCCTGACGGGGTCTGTAGCGTTTTTAATCGTACTTTTAAACTTCGGGTTTCGGGTAGTAACCGGCGAACAAAGAGAACTACAAAATTCGACTGCTTTACGGCATATACGTCACTTCCACCACCACCCCCACTTCCTTAAAATCGGACTTGCGAGCCAAATGTTATAGTCATGGCCGAAGCAGCACAGAAAAACAAGAAAGCAAAGGTTTTATCGGAGCAAAGCAAAAAGAGAAAAAGAGAAAGTGATCGCGTTAAAGGCAGAACGAGGATCAACATTGCAGAGCTGCCAACTCACGCATTGGCCGTGAGACACCCGCATTTGATTGGTTTCACACGCTCACACGTACGCCACACCCCCGGTTTCTCACGCTAAATTGTCAACCCGGTCGGTCAAATCCCTGAAAGATGAGTTTATCTATAGATCTACCTGTTGAGCCACTCGTGATCGACAAGTTATACCGCAAATTAGTTCAAATTTCCCGGAATCTAGAGCGAGCGCGCACGCGAGACAGAGACTGTGCTCCAACGCGCGCGGACGGCAGAGAGAGAAAGCGAGCGAGAGACCTTGCGTGTGCAGGGAGCATCGAACCCCCCATCGAAAAAAGAATGCCTCTCTCTAACCTCTCTAATTCGCTAGAGTAGTAGCGAATTATCAATCTGGTAGCTAGTAAACGATATTCTAGTTTTTGATGGTTAGCTATCGCTAGTATTCTCGTTCTGATTTGAACTTTGCAATCGATGAAATGCAAATAGCAAATGTTTGACCTAAAAAGTGTAGTCTACTCAACATGTACAAAGAAAGGAGGAAGATTATTAATAAAATCATATTTTAGGATACCTAACATGTCTGTGATATTTGTTTATTTGTCTTGCCTCAAGCTATAATGCAAATCGATTTGTAAAATTTGCAGATTCATTTATGGTAGCTTGATATTATAATATTGACGATATATGGTTATTATCAACCACTCAAACATTGCATTGAAGTATCATATAGATCCAGTAAAACGGTAACCAATAGACTAGGCTACTATAATGACGCTGGCTTGTAAACGTGAGCATCGCGATCATTTGTCGTTAGAAAAAAAATAAAACCCATGAAATTATATTCATATGACATGCTGAAATATATGCCACTGTACCTGGGATGAAGACATTTCACACGCGACGCAAGCAGAACACCTGCATGTGACCTCCTCCTACAGTGTTCAGGGCTATCCTGGTTGTCAACAATTGCACGTGCATGTAGGATGACAGAGTTTACGACAGTAGTAGAGGACAATACTGTTTCCCAACTGTAGGGGGAGCCCGAGAGCAAAAAACGACCTGTTGTTACTTTAACAAACCTGTCAGAGACTGATACCAGTTATCTAAAAAGACTTGAGGAATAAAACAAACAAACACTAAAATTTGAATGTTTATTATACTGAAATCCTACTAATATGTCACTTGCATAATAATTTGGAACACAGTGTATATATTTTTGGAAACACTTTACAATGAGGTTCATTAGTTAACATTAGATAATGTATTAACTAACATGAACTAACAATGAGAAATACATTTGTTAATGTATTTATTAATATTTGTTAATGTTAGTTAATAAAAATACAGCTGTTCATTGTTTGTTCATGTTAATTCACAGTGCATTAACTAATGTTAACAAGATTTTAATAAAGTATTAGTAAATGTTAAAATTAACATTAACAAAGATTAATAAATGCTGGATAAGTGCAGTTCATTATTAGTTAATGTTAACTAATGTAGTTAACTAATGTTAACTAACGAACCTTATTGTATAGTGTTACCATTTTTTTTTTTTTATTACCAGCAAAAAATAACTATTGTGAAATAAAAACGTAAACAATAATACGAGATCGGTCATAGCCACCACCCTCCACTGACTGTTTGCCATTAAAATGTAATTGATGTTAATTTGCTGTGATTGATGGCAGCTTTTCATTTACATGAAAGCCTAAAACCTAAACTCGATAAGCATTCTTACTGTTTCTGTTGTAAAAGGATACTTTCTCTCTCTTGTACGATGAGCTGGTTTTGTTGCTCTAACTGTATGATTTGTTTCTCAAAGGTTTCCTGTTCATCCCTGAGTTTCTGTACGGATTCCTCTTTTTCTTCACTCACTCTGAAAAGAAACACGTAAACAAAATCAGATCCATGCACAGTAAATCACATTGGCTTGAGGTGCACTGTAATCATTCATTCATCAGACCACTATAATGAGAGGCCTTTACCTGGCCAGCTCCTGAATGAGATTGGCAATCCGACGCTTGTCCTCTGGGCAGAGATCCTTCAACGATGGCTTACTTTTGGCTTGGGCAGCGCTGAAGAGAGTCTACAATCCAGAACAGAAGATTTCAAGTACAAATCAAAAAAACAAACCTGGATAGCTGGTTCTTTGTATATCCTTTAAAAAAGAACCTGCCGATTTATGACTGTCAACGATAGTTAGATTTTACATTTCCTGAAGGAAATATCAGTTATTGCAAATTGATGTTTGATACAGACAAAAATTCAATATGCAAATATTAAGTTTACATACATTAGGGATATAATGCAAAACAACACATTGACAAAATCAACAAGTTGACTGGTCTTATTGAATACCTGAATAATTTAGTTGGTTTCAGGTTCACTTTACCCTGATTAGATGCATTTCTTTAAGGGGCCTTCACAAAACACATGTTCTTACATTAACAAAAGTTTTCAATATTCATGGCGCAAAACACTAAAAATGTTAAATTAAAAATAAAAAGACAAATTAAAACACAACATGCAAACATTTATGTGCAAAATATCTAAAATCTATCCTAATTAAAGCACCGCTGCTGAAATTATAAAAAAAAGAAAAAAGAAAGAAAAATCCAAAACTAATTGGCTGTTGGATTAATTGTGAAAACTAAAACATAATATAGCCTAACAGGTCAAGACATAATTTGGAAACATTTGCATGTTTCTCAAAAGCTCAAAAAAACTTTAAGGCTAATGCTTATATGCTTGAAATTAGCTTTGTAAACAGATAAAGAATACACATTTCTCAATTTATTTTTATTTGATATTTTTTAATGGATGCTGGAATGGATATTATAAAAGCAGAAGGAGTCCAGCATCTATTGGAATGTCCAGAGTTCAATTATAGGTCAAATATTATATATTTTTGGATTTATTAAACATATTTTGGTCACTGCATAACTTTCGAACCTCCATGTGTGCCATTTCATAGTTTTGATAACTATATATTATTGAACATGGAAATTAGTAAAAATAAAGAATGAACAGACTTTTGACTAGTGTTAATTGATTGGAGTTTAATTAATTAGAGACGCAGAAATGTAAACTTATCAGGGATGAAAAAGGTGACAAAGATGCAACCAGCATAAGGAGGGTGAGAAAAATGTTAAAATGACAACGATCCAATTAATTCCAGAGAAGTACAAAATCATGCACTTGTACAATTTGTCTGTTATGTAGCCTGTTATGTTGATTTGTGAGAAAACTAGAATGCAGGTTTGAAATAAACATCATCATCATCATCATCATCATGTCCCACACTACATTTTTTTTCTGATTCGAAAAGCCATTTCCCTCGGATGTGTCACAATAAGGAAGAAATTTCATTTGAATTTCATGCCAACTTTAAAACGTCTCTTTTGTTTGACCGATTTATAAACGATTCTTTCAAATTTGGGAAGAGTGTTTGGTGAAATCCCACAAATTACTTTTTTCTGCAAACAGTGTCAATTTTGCATCCCTGCAGACAATTGTGAAAAGTCAAAAGCATTTCACCACACAAACACTGTAAATATTCAGAAGTCACTGCTCACCTGAGCTGAAGTGAAAGGAGGAAGGTCTGGTTCTGGTGCAGGTGTAGTGGTTTTGGATTTGGCTACAGTAGAAGGCAGCTTCCGATCTGAAGCTTTTCCCGCTGCCATCTCAGCATTTTGTATTCCCAAATGCAATCCTGGTTTCTTGCCACTTTTATCCATGCTGCCAGCTCTCCTTTTTATCTTTCCCTCTGTATTATTTGCTGAACCAAACTTTAGGCCGACGTTCCTGCTCATCCCTAAAAGACGATGGGAGTGACAGTTTTCAAATATCAAACATGAGGTGCCAGAATGATGAACAGGATATTTTAGTAGGCTATAACAGTAACAGGCTAAATTTTTAAAAATAGAGTCTCACCTGTAACAAAAACCATGGGCTGTCCCTGTTCTTCATCTGATTCTATGCAAGTTAAAGAAAACACAAGAGAAGCACCTAAGCCTACAATAAAAAATAAAAGGAGCCAAACAGTCTAAAAAATATATTGAACAGAATAACATAAGACTAAAGCAGTAGCAGTTGCTAGTACTCCAATCTACATGAAAAAAATGCAGTTATGTGATGATGCTTTTACAGTTCTAGGGATAAGAACTGTAATTGCATGCATTTTACTGTAGTATTGTACTACGTTCACTATCTACACTCTATGTGTCTTTTCAATAATACAACTTAAATTCAGAACAGTACATGTATAGTTCCGTTCAACTGCAGCTTTGTGTACGTTAACGTTACTAAAACTAGAGTTCGGTTAAGCTGACAATGAAAATCCGCTAATAAGTTATTAGCCTCCCTTTTCTCATACACACTGACCACGGTTAACCTTTATGCTTGCCAAACCAATATAATATAACTAATTTAAACCAACTCATCGAAGAAAAATACGAAAAAATGTAAGAAGGATACTGTCATGAATCCAGTAGATTCCATTGCCATTTGCGCCCTCAGCAACAGACGCCATACTGAAACAACCGCCACTTCCAGATTGCGTGCAGGAGCCTCTCCTATTTTTCATCGTTGGTGAGTGTGATTGGATGACATTAACTTGCTTCGCCCGCCCCTCCAGTGTACTATTGGTCAAATCACTCGTCTCTCATTTTCTCAGCCAATAGGAGTGCAGAACCGCAATGTTTTGGTTTTGCGTGCTTGGTAACCTCAGCATCCGTCGGTGTGTGACTGCAGCAATAAATGTCCTAGAATTATATAGATGCTTTTTGTGTTATTTTGGAATGGAGGAGGTAAAAGATGAGAAGACATTCAAGGGGTTTGTAGATAGACTCACCCTCGGTATTACTCGGGTTTTGGGTGAGTGGACGATGTTAAATAAAAAATAATTGTAGACTGCATCCTACAATAAGCTGCATGCCCTGCTAAAGAAAACATCATGGCTAGTTGGTCTCCCAGGTTGGTCTGGTTTTGGGTTCGTGTTAGTGGATCAGGCTGGGAGGCCACCTGGCGACCAGCTTGGCTAGACTGGGATACCATCTTAAACCAGCTAAGACCAACAAAGCAGCTTAGGGTGATTTAATATTTTGTGACTGTGTATGTTCTTGTTTAACCAACACAGAGGACCAAATGTCTCCACAAAGATAGTGAAAGATGAAAATGTTTACATTGAGGGGCCATTTGGCCGGGCCCCATGAGGAAAACAGCTTAAAAATCATACCAAGTGATGGGTTTTTTTTTTTGTTGAGTTTTCTGTGATGTATAGGTTTAGGTTTATAGGTAGGGTAAGTGTATGGGGGAGAGAATATACCGTTTGTACAGTATAAAAAGATGTACGTCTATGTAAAGATATAAAAACAAGTGTGTGTGGCTGTCTTAGCACTAATGCAAACCAAGTCAGTTATTACATACATGATATGCGTGATTCTTTTGCATATTTTCTGCTTGACAGAGAACCTCCCTGGTGTGCTGGATGTACGATTTGCAGAGAAAGCCCCTGCAGAAAAGAGATGCCTTCTCTCCTGGGAGCAGGTATCGAGTTATTTCAATATAACAGAGAATATTCTCAAAGCAGGTCTTTGATGTGGGTATATTTATATCAGGTGTGTTTTTCCTGTGTGTTCTCCAGAAAAACAACTGTGCTTTGCCGGAAGATCTCAGAGATTTCTATCTCACAACAGATGGCTTCATGCTTGCCTGGAACTCCAAGCTGGAAAGTAAGCACCCTGAAACATGCACTGATCGAATGAAATCTTATAGTGTAGATAAACCATAATGATACTTTAAATTTAGCCCTAGTATACTGCTTTTTCAGATCTGATCAGTGTTTTACTTCTGCGACCACATCATTATACATGCACATCATTTTTTGATTCCATATTATTGGTTACGCTTTTATTCTAAAAAACTATATATGCTTTCTGTCTTACAGATGAAGTGGTTCCAGTGGGATGCATGGTGATAAACAGTGTTGCTCAGCTAAGACCCCTGATTCAGTCCAATGTATATTCCCTCCCCAATGCACCTACCTTAGCTGATCTTGACTTCGATGATGACTTACAGGGTGAAATTTTATTTCATCTTTAGGCATTTATCTTCATTTCATTGCATGCAAATTTGCATGAATTATATACCCTATGTCATGTCTCTTTTTTTAGAATCTGATGGCCCTGAACAACCTCACTTTGATTGTCGTAGTCGCATATTTGAGCTGGACCCCTGCAATGGTAATGGCAAAGTCTGCCTTGTTTACAAGAGCTGCACTCCAGGTGATTATGCATCCCACACTTAATCCAGAAGGATATGAAGAGTTAGCATACAAAAAAAGGTTTATATCATTTTAATCTACCATCTGGCCCTGTGTCTGCTGGCCCGTTCTAGGTCGTGTAGGTGTAATGGCCCAGCAGTGTGAGGTGTGGTTCTTGGACCGATCACTTTTCTGGCACTATCTCACCCCCTCCTTCACTGCCTACTACCGACTTATGATCACTCATCTGGGGCTTCCGGAGTGGCAGTGTAATTTCACTCCGTATGGCCCCAGCCCACAAGCTAAGGTAAGCATTATCTAGTTCGTTCTATCAAATCAGAATATTTAAATTATTATTAATTATAAATTATTGTTTTTTTATTTGACTAAAGTCTACAAAAAGTTTTTTTAAACATTTATATTTATACTGTATGTTTTTACACATATATAGTTGGTGGCGGATACCATATATATGGATACAACATTTGTTTTGTTTTTTACAGCCAGAACAAATTGAATTAAATGAGATGTGTGTATTTTTTTCTGTTAAAATACTTAATAGCCTTGGCTTCCTTATTTTATTCTGTATATTTTATTTAATATATCCAAACATGTATAAAGTAACAATCACTTCAATGACTTTAAATGGCCTGTTTTAAATACACTTTACCATCTGTAGTAAAAGTGTGGGGTTGGTAAGACTTTTTATTGTTTTTGAAAGAATTATCTTATGCTCACAGCTCACTAATACTGAATTTTTGGATCAAATATACAGGAGAACAGTATTATTGTGAAATATTATTACAAATTAAAATAACTGTTTACATAAAATGTAATTTATTCATGTGATGGCAATCACAGCATTCCAGTCTTCAGTGTCACATGATCCTTCTAATATGCTGATTTGATGCTTAAGATTTATTTTATTTTTTTATCTATGTTGAAAACAGTTGTGCGGCCTAATATTTTGTTTCATATTTTTGTGGAAACTCTGAAAATAATTTATTTTAAATATAAATCACTTTTAATCAATTTTAATGTGTGCTTGCTGAATAAAAGTATTCATTTCTTTGGGGGAAAAAAATCTTACTGTGCCCAAACTTTTGAATGATAATGTTAAGGAAATTTGACCAGATGATTAATGAAGACCAGGAGTTAGTAGTCCAGTCAATTTAAGACAGGAGTCAGAATTATAATAGATTAAATAACATTTTTACTGAAGATAGTTTGAAGATTCATCCAGCAGAAGTCAGCTTAAGACTCACAAGGAGTTTGTAGGCCACTCCTCTACATTAACAAAAATCTCAGCAATTATACCCTTCACCAAGGTCTAAGCTACGTCCTTGCTTCAGGTTGAATGATTCTGATTGGCTAAGAAATAGATAAACATAGAAAATGTCCACACATGGACTGATAGGCAGTAGCACATCTCCATAGTCTGTACAGCTGCCACCAGGACCCTGAGTTACGTACGAGTGTCCCTCCGAGGTCACAAGGCTGTGTGTCTAGGCACCAGCATGTTGAAGAAAACAAGTCAGTCAATCTACAATAATGCCACTTGTTCCTTAACCTGTAACCAAGAATACTTACACACACAGACACACAGCTTCTTCAAGGTTGGATTTGGTCAGGCTCTAACTATCAACAGTCGGCTCTTCCCAAAACATCCAGATAATGTGTTCTTTCTCTCAGCGAGAGGACGCTTTAATATAGATAAGCAAAGTCCATATTTAATTTCTGGAAGCCAGGCTAAATGAGCAACCAGTGTTACTGCATTCCTGGCATCGGCCAGACCTTCAGTCACCTCTCAGATATTTAATACAGACATTAAAGAATACATGAAAAGAACATTTCAGTAATCACACTGGTAACTTCTATAACTAAGGAAAATCTCATAAGCCTAGAGAACTCATTAAATGTTATATTTAGAAGGAAAAATATTGATTAATACCTTGATTATAATCACTCATTAGATATAGATTGAAGCAGCAGTGGATTCCAGAATCCACTCCTTCAATAGTGTATGTTCACACACTTTCATTATGTAATCAACTGCTCCAAAACAACTTCTCCATTGATTTCTTGATACAGCAATGGGCCGCTCTCTACCAACCCCTGACGTTCTGTGGTGATCCCCATCTTGACACATCCAGTGAACCTTTATTGAACAAGCTGGACCCAGCCAAGGCGTTCCGCGGCAAGGCCAAGCCACCCACTCCCAAGAAGAAGCAGCCAGCGCAGGTCCCAGCGAGCGGCGGCAGTACAGCCAAAGGACAGGGGGTCTCGTGGAGACACAGCGTGACTAAACGGTGACCCCGTCGTCCCAACTGACATACAGGCGTGTTGACTGTTCTTTTGGCTAATGCTGGGCATTTATCCTGACTTTACCAGCTTAATTTCATCTATTGGTGCCCATTAGTCTGTGTGTGTGTGCGTGTATTTATTAAAGATCAAACATGGACAATCCTGAGTCCTGAGATTCTTCATAAGCTTATTCCTCTATTACTCAAAAGGTAGTACTGTAGTGCACACTGGACTGAGAAAGTTTGCCTGAAAAAATGAACCCCATAGGCTTTTCGACCGTTATCCATGTTTCATATTATTCCTGTAAACATCCCAGCTGCCTTCGGTAGAAATGGCACTTTCTTTCTTTGGTCTCTGTAACATTCTTGGTCCTTAACTTGAGCAGGTCTCACACAGATATCTCTGTACTGCCATTCTTGCACTTTTCCAGAGGAACACATTCAGGATCTTCAGTAGACTGTGTGTTAGTGCTTTTAAGATCAGGGTGGTGTAGCTCTACAAATGCTTTGTAGATTAAAGCCCCGGTCACTCCACCAATAAAGGGGGCCACCAAAGGTACCCACCACCATCCATTGCCTGCCCTGGAAATACATTGAGGCAACACTTTAATTAAATGTTATCAAATTATGATGTACTGTTACTGTTATTTACACTTTCAAATTAAATAATGAATAATGTTTAAAAAAAAATGCTTTATTAATTATTCTTTTCAATAAATATACATGTAAAATAATATATTATTTTATATTTTCATGTAATTAAATGTTTTAATAATTAAAAATATATTATTTATTATTAAATCAAGTTCTTAAAACTTAATTTTACATAGTTTTACAGTGATCATACACCATATTTAGGCATACTACTTTAAATGTTTTTTTTTTCTTGTTACATAATATCTGATCTTATAATTTTGATTTTTTTTTCTATTGTGATTTTTTTCCTATTGTCAACGTTTCTTTAATCAATGTATGATTAAATAATAATGTAATATGTATTATGTCTACATAATTGTAATACTTCAGTATTATTTTAATAAACAATCATGTAAACATAATACATTTTTATTTTTAGGAATACAACTTTTATTAGTTAACATTAGTTAACTACTTTAGTATTTATTTCAACATTTACTAATGCATTATTCAAATCAAAAGTTGTATTTGTTAACATTAGTTGATGCACTGCGAACTAACATGAACGACTATTTTTATTAACTAAACTAACATTAACAAAGATTAATAAATACTGCAACAACTGTACTGCTCATTGTTAGTTCATGTTAGTTAATGCATTAACAAATGAGACCTTATTGTAAAGTGTTACCAAAATATTTTCCTGTTATAGATCTTATAGGGCCCATAAAGCAGGGTTCCTCAAACCCACTGTCCTGTAGAGTTTAGCTGGGGTTAGAACTAAACTCTGCAGAGCAGTGGCCCTCCAGGATCTGATTTGAGGAACGCTTCCCTAAAGGGACATGGGGACGGAAAAAAAATATATGAGATGGGAGGAAAAAATTAAATGTCAATGCTTTTGCATTCTCTTGAGAAACTTTGTGTTCGCTTGCAAAATGTTTGCGTTTCCCCGAGAAACCTTTTGAGTTCTTTGCGTGCACATTTTTTTCCTCCCATCTCATATTTTTTTCATCATGTCCCTTAGGGGCTCTGTAGATAACCGTGACTTACTTGATCAAAATCCAAAACATAATGGATGGTTTCAAGTGATGCATATCAAGAATTCAGGGTTATTGTGGCTGAAAATGCAGGAGGGGTTACAAATCATTAACCCTGATCCAAACAAATATCAAAGAGTGTTTTATAGCTTGATTTTATATTTATTCACCTGAAAACCTCCATGCCCCAACCTGCCATCAGTGTGAAGACTCTTGGCCCTAGATCTCGTGTGGGATTGATGGCATAGCCGCTGTTGCTCCCCAGAGACACACCAATGAGCAGCACCACGAGCCCCACTCCCACAGGCTCACCTCCAGACACAACCGGCTGGTTTCTCTGGTCTGCCAGAGCCATCAGACACAGCAACAGCATGGCGGTGCCCACAACCTAATCCGGAGAATTTAAAAATATCTTCCTCTAAAAGTGCTTAATGGGTACAGTTGAGCAATATTTTTGCACAGGATTCATTTTTAAAAATACCTGGTCGAAGAATCCAGTGTAGATCGAGATGTAAGGTGCTGGATATGTGGCAAAGATCCCAGCTGTTGCTTTGGGACCAGACACAGTGAAATTGCCCCCACAGTAATGATGTATAGCATCTATAAAGCACAGTACAGATGTGAGCGAAGAAACCTTGTGGCAATTTATATGACCTACTCCAACACTAAGAACAAAAATAACTCCTCCTCACCGTAATAAAGTGAAAAAATGGTCCCGGCAGCGAGGAAGGAACCCAGAAACTGGGCGAAAACATACAGTGGCAGCATCTTCCAGCGCAAACGGCCGAACACGCACATTGTGAACGAAACAGCTGCATTCATGTGAGCTCCTATGCGATGGAGTAAAACATATTGCAGTATTAATAGTCATTAATATGGAAAACAGTGAATTAGGAGAGCTCTGACCTTGGGGTCAAGAGGGTCTCACCTGACACTTTTCCACCAATGTGCACACCCATAGCCACACTCAGTCCAAAGCCTATATTTATGCTGAGGTAATCTCCGAAAAAACCATTTCCTGTGACCACTTGTGCAACACAGCCAAGGCCGAACACCTGGAATTCAAAAATAGTCTGTCAGAGAAACTAAATATGCTTATCATGGATGATGTACAGCTAGACAGGAAAATAAACCCTGATTTAAGGCTTATTTCATGGCTACTTCTCAGATTTAAAAAAATAACAATTTATGAATGAACATAAAATTTTAGTTTTAACTAAAGAGACAATGATTAGACAGAAATAGTTATTATTGTTAACTAAAACTGCAAGTAAAACTATTAACCCCCTTGTGCTGCACACGTGGTGGTGATGACAGCATGTTTTTTTTTTTTTTTCTTCAATGAAATGAATGCACTGTATTTTAGTTTGATAATGTTTTTTATTTAATATTTAGTATTTTTAGGGGATTTTGTGGTACTAAATTCAATTTATGGAATAGTTATGATCCATTTATTGTCTGTTAACCATAGCAATTCACTTAAAAATCTTGAAATCTTGAGCACAGACTTAAGTTTGGTCTCTTTTTAAAGATGACACTTGGCAGAATATTGCTTAAAGTTTAAAAGGTGGAGTTTAATTATAATTTTTTTAAGTTATAGAAGTTTAAGTTTATTATTATGAAAAATGCACAAAAAATACTATTTAAAAATTAAAATTTATATGAAATATGTATTTTCCAAAACATGTTTTACTCTAAAACTGTAAGAAAATCAAAGCCATAAATCTAAACTAAATCTAAAAGTTGTGTTCCAAATTTGAGCTTGATATCTCAAAAAAAAAAAAAGAGCTTTCAGTAAGATTATGTTTGGGTGCAGTACCAAACGTTTCCACTAGATGAAATTAATTTCCCATTTTTTTCCAATCCTATCATTTTTACCACGGACAATACAAGTGTGAATATTTTTTTCAGGACCGTTTAAGCTTTTCGAATCATGTCCATAATGTGTGTGTGTGTGTGTGTGTGTGTGTGTGTGTGTGGCCTGGTAAACCCTACGTTATGGGGACAAAATGTCCCCACAAGGATGGCAATATCCGAAATCCTTGTTCGTGTGGGGACATTTTTTGGTCCCCATGAGGAAATCAGCTTATAAATCATACTAAGTGATGTTGTTTGAAAATGTAAAAATGCAGAATGTTTCCTGTGATGGGTAGGTTTAGGGATAGGGTTAGTGTAAGGGAATAGAATATACAGTCTGTACAGTATAAAAATCATTATGTCTATGGAAAGTCCCCATGGGTGTGTGTGTGTGTGTGTGTGCGCGCGTGTGTGCAAGTGGCAAAAACTTTACCAAACTTCGTACCATTACGATGACGTAAAAAATTACTAAACTAAAACTGAACTAAAACTAAAACCAAAATAAAAGGTAACACAAGGTTTTATTTGTTAACATAAGTTATTAGTTAACATGTACAAAGAACAATACTTCTACAGCATTTAATAATCTTATTTATTGCTAATCTCAGCACTTACTAATACATTTTTAAGATCAAAAGTGAGTGTAGCGCAAAATAACTCAAAATTAAAGTAAAATGAAAATGAAAATATAAAAACAAAAGCTTATTCAAAATTTTAATAAAACTATAATAGTCTATGAATAATACTAAAATAAAACTGGACTGATTACAGCTACTCAATTTATAACATATTTTTCGCAAATGACTGGTCAGTTAGCATTGCTGTTGGCCAAGTTTTTGCAATTGACATCGTCACATTGATTCCACCTGATCATGGAAAGTAGTATGTCCAGCCAGTCTTTCTAAGAATAGAATATAATGTAGCACATGGTCTGACGCCAATCACCAATGCACTGACCACAGGTTACTGGCCACTCAACTGCAACTGTGGCTATGTGATCCAAAGCATAACAATGACAATTATTCCAGTATGTATACAATGAACATGCAAATGAGCCACTATTAAACAGCATAATGAACTCTCACAAAAGAAACAGCATCTCACCATCATGATAAATGTGCAGAGGGTCTCTGCCAGGACCACTCGAATGCATTCATTCTTGATCTTCAACATGGATACCACAGTAGGTGCCTTATGGCCTTGAAAACCGTCTTCCATTATGTTGACTTCCTGTTTCATTTCCTTTTGCTCTTTTTTTGCAAAGGGCTCTTCTCCCCAAGTTTGCTATTTAGGTTTTTTGAATTGTTGCCATTGAGCGTGTCTAGATTGTACTGCAGTGTTTGTCAGCGATGTCTATTTATATGAAGTCTTTGCCCCTCCCCATTACTCATGTGTGTACCCTTTGGTACAGGGAGAGGGACAGGAAATAGACAAAAAAAACACATTGACAGCAGTATCACGAGTTATTCAAACTTTCAAATGGTCTATCAGTATCAATTACAGTTAAAATAATCCTGCAATATATCATATGAACTGATATACATGTTTTTACAGCAAAACTAATAATTCACTTCAAATTTAACCTTGCGCATGTGTATGTGATTTTACACATTCGATTTCACAATTGAATTGGTTCAAAGTCTCAGCTATATTTACAACTGTCACCTGTATGTTCTGTTTTCTGTTCTGCACCTGCTTGTGTCCTTGTTATTTGCCTCAGTTTCCCATCAGTTAATCATTCTGTTTAGCTGTGTCTGTTTAGCTCCCTCATTTAGTCTGCGTTTTTTTATTTTGCCTGTTTTGTTCAGTTATTTGTCCGTTCTTGTCTTTATGTAGTGGTTGTGTAATGTTGTTTCTCCTGCTATTAAAGACTCATTTGTTTCTAATCTCCTATATCGTGTGATTTATATATACAACCACGCCTGACAGAAAAACAGACATGGATTTACCAGCTGTACAGCTGCTTTGTTTTAGACCAGGAGCAGCAGTCATTCGAGGCCCACACCTGGCGTGCTTAACGAACTTTCAAGACTGATCATTGAGCGAATTCTATCTAACGAGTCTGAACACATAGACAAAGCACGCCTACACAGTGTTGGTCCTTGGGGGAATTTCGCCACGTTTGTGGAGTGGGTGAACAACAGAGCGGCATTATCCATCGGCCGCGCTGAGGACAACATCACCAGCCCAACTCCTCTGAGCCCAGAGACTACATGGATACAACGGCAGAGCCATCTGCAGATAGAGGAATTGAGCCTGCCTCGATGAACAAGCCAGAGACTACTATAAGTACTTAGCCACACATTGCCCCTGTGCCTAAACCACAACTAACGTCGAACCAAGTGTGTGAGCCGGCAACACCATGCGTCATTGTGGGATTTTTTTTGTTTGAGGGAATGGAAAAGAGCTCAGCCCACACTCCTGCCATTGAGGATGAGCTGCCGCTGGCCTCTGAACTATTTAATGATTTGAAAAAGGATGTTTACCTGCATCTCCCGTCCCGCTGGTTCTGCCCAGCTCGGAATCTCCTGCGTCCCCGCTGGTTCTGTCCAGCTTAAAGTCTAGTTCCCACCCACCCTCCCTCTCCTGCCTCCTCTTTCAAAATCAGCCAGTCTATCAGTCTCATCTCCGCTGTCTGTCATCAGCCCCTCGGCTCCTCCTCTGCCTCCCCTCTGTGACGTGGATACACCCAGGGCCTTCCGCTATCCAGCTCCAACCAGGCGAATGGATCCCCCGGCTCCGCCTCCAGTCGTTGTTCCCGTCACTCCACCTCGGCCCGTCGGCCTGACAACTCCGCATTAGCTCCTCCCTCCCTCCACTCCGCCTGGGACCATTGGCCTTACGTCTCCACCGGGCTCCCTTGATCCTCCGGCTCCACCTCAGTCACTCACCTGCGGCATGGACTTGCAAGGCGTCCGCTACGCTCTGTCTTTCCAACCACTACGCCTCCGTCTAGCTCCGCCCTCCCTCCGGCTCCACCTCGTCCCTTAGTCATTCCGGCCTCAGCCCTCCGGTACTACAATGGTTCCACCTAAGGGTCTTCGCTTTGGCTCTGTTCCGGCCTCCAAAGCCTGTGGTGTCGTTCTGGTCCATCTGCACTCTGGGTTCCCTTACCACTGGCTCTGTCTCCATCCGTGGTCCCAATGGCTTTGTCGAGGAGTTCTCCACCATGGCTCCTCCCTCCCTTCACACCACCGTGGGTCCCCATCCTGGTTGGACTCTTGGTTCCTGCATCCTTACTCCTGCTCCTGGTTCCCTCCTTTCTCCTCCCACCCTCCACTCCCCCATGGACAGTTCTGTCTACCCCTGTTTGGTTTCACCGCTCTCCAACACCACACCCTCCATAAGAGAACCCTCCCTCCTCAGTTGGACTTTGTTTAGGGCGTAGGGAGGGAGGAGGTGTAATGTCACTTGTACAGTCTGTCTTCTGTGCCTGCCTGTATCCTTGTTAGTGTGCTTGTTTAGCTCCCTTATTTAGTCTGTGTATTTATTCTCCCTATTTTGTTCAATTCTTTGTCTGTTCTCGTCTTTATGTAGTGGTTGTGTAACATTGTTTCTCCTACGTATTCCTGAGTTTATGTTGGTGCATTATATAAAATATATATATACAGTATATAGCGATTTTTATATACTGTATCTATAATATACATTTATAATATAATACACATGCAAGGGAGGCAGTGTCTCCTCAAAAAAACTGGATGAAAAAATAATCATTATTACAAATAATGTAAAAAATGACAATTTGTGACATTAAAAAGTCACTCGTTTTTCTAAAGTAACTGTGTCCAACAGCGACACCCGCAGGTGATTTTACAGCGGGAGTCCGTGTCACTCGTGCCTCCTATGTTCCCATTGACTAAAAACAGACACTCCATGCGGTGGGTTAAGTGGGGTATATTGGGAACTAGAATGTACATTTCTGAAGAAAATGTGAGTGGTGCTTGCAGTGGCAAAACTCGGCACTCGTTGCTAGGGTGTTCTGAGTGGTTGCTAGGGTGATGCTAGGCGGTTTGTAGTTGTCACAGATGGTTTACCATGGAGTTTTTATAGACTTCTTAGCAGTGTTGGGGGTAACGAGTTACAAAGTAACGGATTACAGTAACGATATTACTTTTTTGGGTAACGAAGTAAAGTAACGCATTACACTAAAAATATCGGTAACTACACTACTTTACTATACTATAGGAACGCGCTTTCCTGCGTTACCCAAGCCGTGTTTGCTTGTGTGTAAAGTTCTGTCTAGTGGTGCGTGCGCACCGTTGCCATAGAGATCAATTTGAGTGACATAGCTGCCGGTGCGAAGGAGAGAGGGAAATGGAGACGGAGACGGAGACAGGGGGTCTCTGCAGCGCGAGTCTCCGCTGACTGCACGCGCACCTCCCCAAACGGACGAGGCGTTTATACTCGACGCGCTCGCCATTGTACTATTCTGTGAAACGACGGGGCGACTCGAGTAATTGTCCTCTTAACCATCAGGAATCAACGGTGAGAAGAAGAAAGGTCCACACGTGACGATGTTTATTTTAGTAGGCTACATCACCACCAATAACACTACAAAAAGAATCGTGTACGTAAAATCCAGTAAACCCTGAGATTATTACTTGTGACATTAGAACAAAATGTGGATATAAAAACATGTATGTAGACTATAGAACTAAATCAACGATCTCTTAAATAGTTTCTAATTTCACTAAACATTTCATTTAGTTTCGTGGACATTTTATAAAACATGGATATTTCTATTAAAAATGCTTATTATGCTATTGTAGGCTCATTTTGTAAACATAAGCAACTGATTTAGACACGCAAACTGTGTGCCGGTGCGGTCACGGTGAGACTACATGCTCGGGCAGATTCGGCTTCTTGAAGTCGTTCATCCTCGGATTCGGCGCCGCGCGCGCTGTTACAAAAACTCTTCTCAAGTCTTGGAGCACAGCAGGTAACACAAAACAAAATGAACAGGCTTGTTGCAGGGTTCATTGTAGAGGAATGCTTCCCCTGCCGACTATTGAATCGCCAAGAAAAATGCATTTTAAATTAAGATTAAAAATGTAAAAGTGACCTTTATTTTATTATTTTTCATTGACCACTTCATTTTTTTTTTTATTGCCATGAGTCGAATAAAAAGCTTGTTTTGTTCTCAGGAGAAGAGTTTATTCTCATGTTTCCCAAAGCCTGTGTTTTAAAACTTGTGTGTTGACCCCATTTTAAAATGACCGCACCATATAGCCTCCTTTATCCTGTTGTTTGTGGATTTTACAGTGAGATATATTTCCTTGTGCAGACAGGGATATTGTTCTTTCATATGGTTTTACATGCCATTTTGTATATATTTATACAATAAACACTATGTAGACAGGCTAAGTGATGATAGGGCTATGATATTTGTCCATAAATTAAGAAACGGGAAAGTAAAGTAATAAGTAGTGAAGTTACTTTTCAAACGCAGTAACTAGTAAAGTAATCTCATTACAATTTACAGAAGTAACTAGTAACTAGTAACTAATTACCTTTTTTGAGTAACTACCCCAACACTGCTTCTTAGTATGTTATTAAAGGAACACGCCGAATTTTTGGGACTTATTCACCGTATCCCCCAGAGTTAGATAACCGTATACATACTGGGAACTATATTCTCAGAAGGCGAAGCACTGCTACTTCTCCAGAGTGATTTGCTTGCAGCACCTGAGAAGCCCCGTGGTGAGGAGCAGAGAGTTCGCTCAGAGTGTTGCGCTAATCACTCCGCCCAAGTAGCAGTGCTTCGCCTTCTGAGAATATACAGTAGAAGATGACTGTCTCGTGTGACCTTGTTATTTGTACATGCTGTGACTATACAAATCACAACATGTAAATAGAAAAATGTTGGTGTTATTTTGTCACTTAGTGGGAGCAGTATGCTAGCTGGAGCCATTTACCTCCAGTCTTTGTGCGAAGCTAGGCTAGCGGTGGGTGCGTCAGACAGAGTTATGGCACGCACAGAGATGAAAAGAGTATGTATGAACTTATCTAACGGTGGGGGATACGGTGAATAAGCTAAAGTGTTTTAACACTTACTTAGTCATTATTAGCATGTAGCTATTCTCTGCTAGCATGTGTAGCATTATGGAAGGGCTGTTCATTAGCATGAGTCAAAAAGAGCCAACGCCCAACTCTATACGATGTTCTGATGCAGAGATATAGGTCTTGCTAAACGGTTGCTAGGGTACTATATTTGGTTGCCAGGGAGTGGCTTGGCAGCTGCCAATGATGATACTCCAAATGCTGCTTGTCAGTATGAATGATATAAACCAACGCTATGACGTTTAGATTTGAAGATATCCCTCTTTGGGTTTGGGTTACTAGGGTATGGCTAGACAGTTAACGCTTTTTCGTCACCTGTGCG